CAAGATGATTCTTGAAATTTAATACCACTTTATTATATTTTATTTAATAATCTTGGCAATATTATTTTATTTTTATTATTAATATGTCAATTTTAAGAATAAATCAAAATTTCATAAAAATCGTATGAGTAGATTGTCAAATATTAATTAAAAAAAAAGTGAATTAATTTTGAGCGTTAATAAGGTGAAAAATATTATATAGTGTGTAAAAACATTAAATTTGAATTTTAATGTGATATTAGAGATGAAGAATTGTAAAAATTTTATATACAGCCATATCAAGCTTTATATAAGAGTAAAAAAATTATTTTTAAATAAAAACATGTTCTAATTAATAATAATTGGTTTAGTAGTCTATTAAACTAAAAAATATTATCATATAAGCTCCTAAAAAAATTCAAAAAAATGAATTTTGTTTTATTAATTTAATTTCTAAAAATTAACTCTCTGGTAGTGAGAAGATTTAGCGACTATGCACCACCTGTTGGCGATTTTAAAAACTAATTTTGTCATATAAGCTCCTAAAAAGATTCAAAAAAATGAATTTTGTTTTATTAATTTAATTTCTAAAAATTAACTCTCTGGTAGTGAGAAGATTTAGCGATTATGCGCCACCTGTTGAAGATTTTTAAAACTAATTTTGGTCGAAAATTTTTATATGAGTAAATATAACCGTTTTAGGCTTGATACACTTATTTCAAGTCATAAATGGACACAGAGCCAGATATAAATATTATAATGATGAATATTACTGCGCTGTAAAAAATTTTGGTGCATTTCGGCGCTGTTATGTTTGCGGCAATTGTTGAGCTAAATTTAATTACACTGATAGAAGGGTTTTTTTTTTATATTTAATAAGCTTTATTAAATGTTCATAAATGATTTTTTAACATCATAGGATTTAATAAATATTTATTAACAGTTAAGAAATTATTTATTTAAGCTTTTTCCGAAGAAGTCTCCTAAGACGGCTTTTAATAATTCCGATGAATTTATGAGCCGATGACAGAGACTTTAGAGCAAAAGAGGAGAGGGTGATATCATGCAAAACGGAATTCCCGTTAGCGACGTTGGTAAACGGACGCGGCACTTAGCATTCCTAAAGTAACCCATATGGAAATCTGGCGGGATTCAGGACATGATTTATATTCCTAATGAGATCTCGGAATGCTCACTGAAATGTGATAGCTTGCATGTTCTCTCTACTCGTTGAGGTAGATTGCTGGGTGGATCCTGGTCCCGGGTCTTTACTCAGAGGGGCAAGGCCCTCTGATGAGATAATTTCCGGTTGAACGGGACGCTAGCTACTTCAATTGTTCGCCTGGAAACTCTAATTAATCACCATGAAAATTGTTCTGTCAGATCAGTATTTCGATTAATTTCGTTTTGCTAGAGAAAAAACCCCGTTTTCGTTGTCACTTTCACTAGAGGTGTCAAAGAGACCTTGTCCCACCGGGATTCAAGCTTCAAAAATTTTATATTATGAAATCTAGGCAAGTTTTTATCAAAAATCTGCAACCGATTTAAATTACAAAATTATAATACATTTTAAAATTTTAATTATGGGTCAATTTAAATATTTTATTGAATGAAAAATGGGCTCAGCAATTGATAAAGGGGCATTCCATAGTGACTGTTAGGACATTTGACTCTGGAATTCTGTCAATTATAAGCTATAATTATGTGACTGAAACTTATGCTATAGTAAAATTAATCTTATAATATAGAAGAATAACTAATTAACAACATCCCTTTGTCAAAAACCTCCATTACTTTTTAAGTTTCTCGTAATTATCATTTGACTAAGTGTGACTGGTGGGAGTAAGAAAAATCCTTCTCTCTTACCAAAGGTATACTTAAAGTCCAATTTCAGTTCGACCACTAAACTGAAAAAAAATACTTCCCTCTCAATACAAAATTTATCCTACAAACATTCAATATTATGAAGAATTAGACTGATTACCTACGTAGAAACAATTAAAAAAATTTGTTTTTATTGTGACTGGTGGGACAGGCATTTGTGACTGGTGGGACAAGTACAAAATGTCTACATCAAGTTGTTTATTAAAAAGACTTTTATATTATTTCAACCTTAGAAACATTATTGTTTATATATTTAACTATAAATTATTTAGGATAATTAAAAAAAACTAATTAAAAAACACAAATAAAGGATTTAGCATACTGACAACACGACCTTGATAAACTTAGGTGTTAATTAATAACAAACATAAAATGAATTTGTTGTTAAAACTATTAAAACAACATTTGACCCGGATACAAGTTGTTACGGCTGAAAAGTTACTAGGAGAGAAAAATCGATTTTCTTATTGATTAAAAAAAAATTTCCTTACAAATTAGTAAAGTATAGACTTTTAATAATAAATTAAGACTGAATTAGAGAAATTTAAAAATTTTAGTCATTTTCACATTTTGCATGGAATGCCCCTATGTTTATCATAAGACTTAAAGTAACACTTTTTATGATCTAGGCAAAATCTACAATTCAGATTAAAAAATTTTGAAAAAGTTTAAAATTATAATTTTGGCTAAAATATTGAAGACACGAAAAAATTTGTATGAAACTTTCATTAAATTTTCTACAAAAAAGATCCTTATTAATTTTTCTATACCTCTTATTGTTTTAAAATTACAAACAAACTTTTTTACGATGAATGCAAACAAAAATTTATTTTTAAAATTTCAACCAAAACTCTGGATAAAATTCTAATTTTTCCACCAGAATTTTTCATAATAACAAACAAAAATAATTCCACATTCGGTGAAAATTTCCTCCCAATTTTCCAGAGTACAGAATTCACTTTTTAAAATTTATGTATGGAGTGATTTGTCTGTGGATTAAAAAAGGCACAATAATACGTCATATCTGAATTTACATACAAGTGACAGAGTGTGTGATAGAGATACATAACAGCCGTTTCTGTTGTATCGTCACTGTGGGTGACGTTATGCAACCCGACATTATTCATCCAAATATACATTTTAACCGTTTAGTTGATAACATTTTTTGCTCCGTTCTGTATATTCTATTTCTCCCGATACTTATAACTTATTTTGCTTGTGTCACCAAAAATTAATATCCCGACTGCTCTCAATAATTATTGAACCGACAGTTATTTAGTGCTCTTAATTATAAATTATAAATTATAAATTAAATAACAGCAATAAAAGATCCAAATTCAAGCTTCGGTTTTTCCCCTTCAATGTCATTCAAATCAAACGCAAATTCATTATATCGGCTTTTAAATCACTGAAAATTTTATTATTAATATTATTATTATTATTATATATTTTTCATTTAAATTTGATGATTAATAATGACATATTTTTGTTACAACGTATCAATGTTGACATTCCCGTCGAAATTGTCAGCGAGAAGAGAAATAATTCTGCAATTATAATTGAAAAATAAAAAAAAAGGAAAAAAATGTATTTTGATGGAATTCATAAATAAATGAATAATTCTTACTTATTCTGTCACTGAATATAAATGTATTTAGAGTAACTAGATGCATAAATGAATGAAAATCGATGGCTAAATTCTTATTTATTTTTTAAAGACGGCGCATTCTGGTTTGTTATTTTTAATTGATTGCCAGCTTTTTGTTTGAATTTTAATTTTTAAAAAAAGTCAACTGTATACTAATAAATAAGAGGAGGTATTTTTAAATGCCTAAATTAAAAAAGTACTTATAAAATGTGCAGAAAAATTGTAAAAAAAAGATGGAGCGTGTTTCGGAGAAAGTTTTAGTAAATAATAGACAATTGCTCATTTATGACCTCGATTTTTTGAGTTATAAAATAAGTTTTAATTATAAATTCATTCTTTTCGATTGTCATTGGTTGATAATTGTTGATTGACTAATTAGATATTTTTTAAGTTTAATATAATTTTGATTACAATTATAGAGATGTCAATATACAAAAATAAAAATCATTTTTCGTTTTAAAAATCAACTTGCAACATTTCCTTAGTATTTACATTTATCCTTGTAAATAAAAAATTATAAACAAAAATTCTTAAGGACATATTTAAGAGTAAATACTTTTTTAAAATTCAAAAATTTTTTTACTAAATTACGATCTAAAAATTTATTTTTAGTTCAAATTATTGAGCTTAAAAATATGATTTTTATTCTTGAAAAATAATTTTATAATTTTATCTGAATGAGAATTTTATTTATTTCTTAATACCAATTATACTACAAAATTAATTAAATTGTTAGAGAGAAAATAGTTGAACATTAAATACCTTATAATTGAAGTAAATAGACAGCGTATACTTAAATTTAAAATTAGCAATTCTGAAATTACTTTCCACATTTAAAATATTATTAGTTTTACTTTGAATAATAATAATAATTACATAGCATTGCATTAAATCGGAAAGAGAGTTTTCGAGAGGCGAAACCGAAGCGGAGATTCCGTATTAATTTTGAAAGGTAATTTTAATTTGAATCCAAGTAAATTTACCCTGGATGAGAAAGGTATTTGATGAAATATTTGTATAAGAATGAATATTATTAATGGGTGTTGTAAATAAAAGCGCGGACTTAGGTGTTGTGGAGAAGGGAGTAAAGAGGGAGTAAAATCCCTATAAATGGAGTAAGTAGCAAAAGCAATTTAGAGAAGCCTCGTGGCAAATTAGGTGTACCCTGATTAACGCACATTGGCTCAATTACATGGGTTTCAGTTGAAGGAATGGGTGATTGCCCGCTATTAACGATCTGGGCGTTGGATGTAAAGGACAGTGAACATCACCCACGCTCCAATTTACCCTCTCATCTACCGGTGGTGCTTCATCCTGTCCTGCTCTGCTCGACTCTCCACTCTACCCTACAATTAAGCTCCAATTTGTAAAGTATAAAATAAACGGGGAACAAAGCAAAGCAAGCTGGGAGCCGGGAGCAGGGTTGAGCGCTCACAGAACAAAGAACAAGAACAACCCAGATAATTATAAAAATAATACCTAGTCCTGTTTATTTGTTATCACATAATAAAGCAACACCGCGTAAAATCCAAAATTCCGGTGGTTTGATTGTTTGGAGCCACAATGCGGTCACCAGTTGTGTGTACGTTCTCTTGGGCTTCTTGTAAACAGGACACTAGATTGGATTAAAACATTTCATTATTCAGTTCATATTATTATTATTACTTCATAAAAAATTACAACATTAATAATAATAACTTGTTTTTTTTTTTTTAATTTATTTGTTGTTATTATTATTAATTTTTTTTTATGGTTCTCATTATCAATATGATTATTTTGTGACAATCTTGAGAATATATTAAAATTTTATGAAAATCGGATAAATAGATCTTGAGATATTTATTTATTTATTTATTGATAAGTTTTGAGGAAAATTAAATATAAACAGTATTAATAAAAAAAAAAAGAAACAGAAAATAGATTAATTATGGTGACCCGACAAAATCTCCCCGGAAAAAATCTCCCCGACAAAATCTAATTTTAAATAATTTAAAATAATAATATTATTATTCCTGACAGTTGTGATGGTATTTTTCGTGTAAATATTCACAAAAAATCATGATAAAACGGCACAACGAGATTTTGAAGCGTATTTTGTCGGGGAGATTTCGTAGTAGAACCAAAATCAACACACAATCATTTTAAATTACTTATAATAATATTAAGCATTGTTATTAAGTTAAAAACCATTATTTATACATGAGGAGAAATATTGCAGCAATATGAGATATTGATAAAAAAGAATGCATTGATTTTGAACGTCAATGCAGTGTTATAATGTTGTTTAGTCTACAAAGATACAATCGATTCGAATTTTAACTTGATGAATCGATTGTATCTTTGTAGACTAAACAACATTATAACACTGCATTGACGTTCAAAATCAATGCATTCTTTTTTATCAATATCTCATATTGCTGCAATATTTCTCCTCATGTATAAATAATGGTTTTTAACTTAATAACAATGCTTAATATTATTATAAATTATAAGTAATTTAAAATGATTGTGTATTGATTTTGAGCGTCAATGTGGTAAAAAATATTATTTGAAGTATGAAGATACTCTTAATTTGAATTTTAAGCGTCATATTAATGATAAATAATTGAAATATCGATTCAAAATAATTATATATCGATTTTGAGTATCAATGCAGTGAAAAATCATTATTTATCGTGACAAAAAACTCTAAATTTGAATTTTTACGAAATATTATCAATAAATATAATTATCTATAGTAAAAAATGGATTTCAAACTATTCTACATTGATTTTGAGCGTCAATGCAGTACAAAATCATTATTTATTGCTTAAAAACACTTTTTATTTGAATATTTGTAAGCTAATCGTAACAAATATCAGTATTATTGATAATAAAATTGATTTAAACTATTCTACATTGATTTTAAGCGTCAGTACAGCGCAAAATCATTATTTACAGCATCTAAACTCTCTAAATTTGAATTTTTACGAAATATTACTAACAAATACAACCATTTATAGTAAAAAGATCTATTTTAAATTATCCTGCATTGATTTTGAGAGTAAATGCAGTTCAAAATCATTATTTATCGCATACCAACACTCTTGAATTGAACATTCACCAGCTAATCGTAAAAAATATCACTATTATTAATAATAGAATTGATTAAAAATGATCATTCATTAATTTTGAGCGTCAATGCAGTGCAAAATTATTATTTATTGTATGAAAACGCTATTTATTAGAATTTTTAAGAGATATTAATGATAAATATAAACATTTATATTAAAAAAAATCTATTTTTAATTATCCTACACCGATTTTGAGAGTCAATGCAGTATAAAATCATTATTTATTGCATAAAAACACTCTAAATTTGAATTTTTACCAGATATTATTAATAAATATAATAATATGTGGTAAAAAATTGATTTCAAACAATTTGGCATTGATTTTAAGAGTCAATGCAATGCAAAATGATTATTTAACGTCTTAAAACACACTGTATTTGAATTTCCACGAGTTACTACTAATAAATGTCACTATTATTGATAATAGCATTAATTGAAAATAATTATGCACTGATTTTGAGCGACAATGCTGTCTAAAAACGTTATTAATCGTACAAAAACATACTGAATTATAATTTTAAGACGATATTAATAATTTTATACTAAAATAGATTAATTACTGTTATTTCTAAGTAATTATAAATATACTTTACTTGATAAAGTTTAGGATCCTTGATGGGTTTATTGTACAAGGCAAATATATGTACAACAGGCATTTCAACATAAAGGACTTTGTTAAATGACTCCTTAAGTCGATTATTCCTGCGATCCCAGGCAGCACCTTCCAAATAAAGCCCGTAAACATATATACCCTCCTGAAATGAAAAATAACAACATTATCTGTGTTTTGTTAGTTAATAAACCTTGGGAACATGGTAATATATGAATAGCAAAGCTGCTAGGAGCTTGGGGGTGAGAGTGAGGCCGAGGGTGATGAAGATGCCGGTGTAAAGGAGCAGGCTGGGTAAATTTAGCTGAGGAGATTACGTACAGCGGGTGAACTTCTGACGTCTTCAGACATCTGCCTCATGACTTCATTGTGAAGGGTGACGTTGTCAAGAGCCCAACCTTTGTGCGCTCGTGTTACCTCTTGTCGCATCGCGGTTAAGAATCCTGTTGAGTTGTCACAGCGTTACGTGCCGCAACAAAAATAGGTTTTAATTTAATGATAACAATGATAACAAAACTTAGTGAGGAAAAAAGACAGTGATTAAGATTAGCACAAGGAGGCTCGTACAAATCTCTTTCACTTATTTTTTTTTTTTATGATTTTTTGTACCTTGAGGGTTAAAAAATCCCGTCATCCAAAATTTTGCCGGCCGAGACTGGAAAATCCAAGAGGAAAATTGCTGATTTCGCTCGAGTAATTCTGTGAACCAGAACCCGAGTGTTGATGATTCCCAAGAACGTAAACGCCAAACTTTGGGTATTCGCGCGTCGTAAATGTTGTCCAAAGCGTCTTTTAATTGCTGGATGATTTTTTTAAATTATTAATAAATTATTTATTTATAAAGTCGCTGAGAATTTTTTGGTAATTAAATTATTTAAAAAATTTTTTAAAAATTTAACTATAAGTAATGAAATAATTATTTATTTTATTGTGAAAAAATCATAGAGTACTTTTTAAGATTTTTTTGTAATCTATATTATTAAGAGAATAAAAAAAATTTAGTGTAATTTGCGAATGTCTTGGCTGGAATTTGTGCCTTTTCAAGATTTCATGTCATTCTCACTGATAGTTAATTTATTATGATAAATAATGAGGCTGCATTCAAAAATTATCTCTAGATACATAATTAAGAAATGACCTTGTATCTCGTGAACTATTGACATTTTTAAAGTAATAAGCTCATCCCGACATTACACTCATCGAGACCTTTCATTTGAGTACCCACATCAATTTTTCATATATTTATATAATATTATATATATATGTATATATAAAAAATATATAAAAAATGCATGTTGGTACTCAAATGAAAGCTCTGGATGAGTGTAACATCGGGATGAGCTTATATCTTTAGAAATGTTAATAATTTAGAACTGACATTACTATCTTGTCAACTAATGACATTTTTAATGGTATAAGCTCATCCCGATGTTATACTCATCAAGACCTTTCATTTGAGTACCCACATCAATTTTTCATATATTTATATATATTATATATATGTAAATATAAAAAATATATCAAAAATGCATGTCGGTACTCAAATGAAAGCTCTTGACGAATATAACATCAGGATGAGCTTATATCTATAAAAATGTGGATAATAAAGTAATGACGTATTTTGTTCCCTGATGATATTTTTAACGATATAAGCTCATCCTGGAGTTACACTCATCAAGACCTTTCATTTGCGTACCCACATCAATTTTTCATATATTTATATATATTATATATATATGTATATATGAAAAATATATCAAAAATGCATGTGGGTACTCAAATGAAACCTCTTGATGAGTGTAACATCAGGATGAGCTTATATCTTTAAAAATGTTAATATTTAAGAAAGTATAGAACAATTTAACAAAGCAAAAAGTTCGATTAACACTACCGATTTTTTACTGTAATTAATTTTTTTTTATTACAAGCTTATTTTATATTTAATAGCAAATTAATCTAAAAAGTAGAAAATAATTTTTAATGATTGTAAAAATAAATTTTTTACAAAAACATCCAAAAAATCCTTGTACACTCTTCTTATTTCAAACTTATTAAAAATTATTATTAGTTTGATTTGCTATTAAACTATATTTCTTAATTTTTTAGACAATAATTCTCTTTCAAATTTTTTAATAAAATTAAAATACTATTAAGTGAGTAAATTTTAAAATTAATTAAACGACTTAAAATAAAATATAAAATTTTTAGATACATTTATAAAATAAATATACCTCATTCATAATGATAACCCCATCAATAGCCAATAGCAAATCCTTGAGCATAGATCTCACCAGTCTGATAACAACTTGCATGCGATCGATTTCCTGCTTGAGAAATATATTCATCGGCTGTGTGATCCCCATGATCTGGAGCCGAGCTTTTACTTCAAATGGATCATAAGCCGGGGGTAATTTATTTAACATATCTTTAGCCTGTCTGCTAACAATCATTTCTCGCGTTTCTCCAGTCCCCGTACCACCCGACTCTTTTGGCTGCACAGATATTATTATGTCCAATATTTCTTGTGTCGTCCGACTCTGGTATCTAAATTCATTTTCCTCTATTTATATTAAAATTTACATTTATATTTATTTATGTCTTCTGAAATTATTAAAATATATACGTTATATCCGCATTTCGGTGGAGTCCATAAACTTGGGGCGGATCGATCGGTTCCATTTCTTCGATTGCCGACAAGTAATCGGTTACTTGTTTGAAATTCAAAACACCGTAGCCGGTGTGAAATAAGAAATTCTCTGTGAATAATGACTCTGTGAACCAGACTTTAGTGAATGTATTTAGAAGACGTTTGTCATAGTCGTCAGTAACTCGTCCGCCGTACTGAACTTCTCCAATCATATATCTATAGGTTTAATATGGAAATAAAAATTTATGGAAATTATTATAAATAATAAATGATCTCGCTTCATCTACTTTTTCATAATAATAATAATAATTATTATTATTATGACGCAAAAGGTCATGGATATAATTGGACAGTAATTATTTTTAATATTTTATTATTACTCGTATTATTTTTACGTTTTAATATATTCAGGAATGTGAAAAAAAAAATATGTAAATATTTTTTAAAATGTGGAGTAATAAAATAAATTCAACTGAATAATTAAATTAACAATAATTTTTAATATTAATAACAGCGAAAATTTATAATTATTTTTTACAAAAAAAATGAATAAATATTTTTTAAGACAAATCTATATTATAAAAAAAATTATAAAAATTTTGTTTCCAGGATAGTCATATGATAAAATCGGTTTTTTTAATGAAATTTAGTGTCATTGTAAAGGTCTTGACTTGAATTTGTGGCTTTTCAAGGTTTTATATCATTTTTACAGATAGTCAATTTATTTAGGCTGCATTCAAAAATATTCTATCTCTAGATACATAATTAAGAAATGACCTTGTATCTTGTGAACTGTTGACATTTTCAAAGATATAAGCTCATCCTGACATTACACTCATCAAGACTTTTCATTTGAGTAGCCACATCAATTTTTCATATATTTATATATATTACATATATATATAAATATAGAAAAAAATTTATGTGGGTATTCAAATGAAAGGTTTCGATGAGTGTAACATCAGGATGAGCTTATATCTTAAAAAATGTGAATAATTAAGCAATGACATTGCTATCTTGTGAACTATTGACATTTTTAAAGATATAAGCTCATCCTCGAGTTAAACTCATCGAAACCTTTCATTTAAGTACCCACATCAATTTTCCATATATTTATATATATTATATATTATATATATATATATATATATGTATGTATGAAAAATGTATCAAAAATGCATGTGGGTACTCAAATGAAAGCTCTTAAAGAACATAACATCGGGATGATCTTATATCTTTAAAAACGTCAATATTTAAGAAAGTACATTGCAATGTAACAAAATTCATTATTTACTAAAGCAAAATTTTATTTATCTATAGTTCACAAGTCACGGCAGCCACAACTAAACGATTAATTTTACAATAATTTTAAACATTTATTAGAGTAAAAATTTATTAATTAATTCTCACAAAAAATTTTTAATAAAAATTTGCCCCAAAAAATCTATATAAAAAATAAAAATTGATAAAGAAATAAAATTTTTAGAATATTCAATTATAATTTACGCTTAAAATGATCTTTAATTCAATTTTTCACTTAAATTGTTTTGTTTTAAAAGTTTTTGTAAAATAAGTTTAAAATAAAAAAAATTAAATACAATTACTGTCCTAAAAAAAAACAAAAATAAAGAAACCTTATAGTCTGCCAACTGATCCCTCGCTTAGGATCATAATCATTGAGATGATTGTTGACGAAGATGCAGGAAGCGAGCCAGTCAGCGGAATTGAACTCGTAGGGAATATTCCAGCCGAGAGGACCGTACTTCCTCCGCTCCTGCACGATGGTATGCAGAAAGGAAATAGTGTAGACAAGTGAAACGTACTGAGCAGCGTCACATTGATCCAGCATGTCTTGATTCATTCCGCTGTAGGTCGCAAGCAACCCGGCTCTTATACCTGGAACGCAATGTCGTGTCATGTGAATTCATTTGTCACTTTTAGCAAACTTGTCGGGACGTAAATGAGCGAAGTGAGAAAGAATAAAAGGAGGAATAAAAAATAGAAAGAAAATTAATTGTGCGATACCCTGGGGGGGCTCGTATGTGAATTTAATAGATATCTGGAGCAGGGAAATTGGAAAATCATTGTGTGGCTCCGTTGTAATCCAAATACGGAAGTTATCATGCGGGGATTCCATTTCGAGGATGAAGTCTATTAATTCGTTCATGTAATCCAGTCCTAGGTGACAGTTTTGCAGCAGCGCCCAATATCCCTCAAAATTTAATAATTAGATGAGTAAAAATATTAGTTAATTACTTTTAATATTGTAATTATAATTATTAGCTCTAAAATTTTTACCGCGAATTCAAAGAAACAGTTTATAATAAATGGTTCAAATTTTTGATTTTATCAAAAAAGTAAATTGTAATAAATAATAGTCGATTTATAATTTGTAATGATCAACTGGAAAAAATTACCATTTCAAACAGTAAAATCGTGATTTTAACAATCACTTTAAGGTAAAAGCCCCAATTATTGACGCTATAAGCGACAAAGTTATGATTTCATTTTTTTTTTTAAGCAATCAAATATCAATATCGTTGAATTTTGTTTGCGGTTATGTCTTGAGTAATGTTTTAACTAATCAATTTCTTTTTTTAAAATGATAATCAGTGATATTGACTAATTAATTTTAAATAATTAAATAGATGACGCATGCGTCGAATCATTTGGTTATATTCTTATTTATCAAAACTTGATATAAAGTAATCAATATTATTATTATTATTATTATTGTTTTAATTAATAATAATTGTTTAAAACTTATTTAACACCAAAACACGCCGAGTTATTTGACAGTTAAAAACTTTGTATATATAATCGCGTAACGTATTTCATACTTAAAAAAAAAGCGTCATGGCGCTGTCGACTGGCTGTCAATATGGGATTCACCATAAAAATTATAAACTAGTTATTGACTCCCATTATTTAAATATTATAAAGCATACAATTAATTTCGATTATTTGATTTTATAAATATTTGATATACTGTTAATTAAAAAAAAAAATAGATCATATAATTACATGAAAAAATTAATTTAAACTCGGCAGTTAAAAAAAATGCTTTTCTAACAAAAGTTGTTTAAGAAAATAGACGCTCGTAAGCTGATTTGATGAACTGGTGCTAACTTTATTTTTTTTTAATAATTAATATTTAATATTTTGAACTGAAAGTGATTTTTTTAAACTTTTTAATTAATTAGAATTTAATAAAAATTTATTTGATCGTTATTATTATTACAGATAATTTAATATATTTAAAAATAATTTAGGGTGTCAATATTTAGACCCCCGTCAATAATTGGGGCTTTTACCTTACTAAATTTCGATATAAGCAACGTCAATATTTACAAAATAAAATGGTAAATTTTAAACACAACGCTAAAAATTAAACTATTATTATTGATTTGCTTGGACTGGTAAAATATATATTTTAAAAGTCGAATTTTTACTGTTTTAAATGTTAAATTCTCCGAGTGTGAGACCTTCTCCTTCTCCTCATAGTATAGACTATATATTGAAACGGCAATTTTTACTGTTTGAAACTGTAATTTTTTAAGATGAGAGAGTCGTTATTTACTATAGTGACAGCTACTGATCACATTTTCAATATTAAATTATAAATTGTGGCTTTTACACTTTCTACATTAAGTTTTGTATAATATTTACATTAGTGCCACCCCGATGTCCGCTCTACTATTTGAAACTATAAAAATTAACCGGAATCCGAGTGAATTTTACAGTTGACTTTTTTTCGTGTAAATTACGTTACACGAATTTCAGTAATATTAAAAATTTGAATCATTTATTTTAAAATTGCGGCAAAAATTTTGTCCCTAATAAATAATAAATAATCATTATCAACCTACTTCAGTCTTAGCGGTCAGCAATAATCGACGAGCATGAACTTCTTGGCCTTGACCCATTGAAATGCTCCTGCAAGGCACTTCAATTTTCTTAGCAAGCTGATTAATACTCGGAGTTGGGTCGGATCCCATGCTGAGGAAGCATATCATGGGGGTGTTTGCTCTCGACTCTCCATGCATAACATCCAGAAGTGTTATCACAGGCTCTGCGTATTTCGCCCCAAGCGAATGGCTAATATACTTCCGAGATTGCGACAGTGTTCGGTCGATACACCATGCCCTGTTATACCAGAATGACTTCAATTTTTTAAATTTCTAATATATTCATAATTATTTTTTAGCTTTCCTTCTCTTTGTGGTTCATTATGATTACTATTGAAATAATAATCAATATTTTCAAAAGTTATGCTAAATTATAAATATTCAAAGTTTTTTATTAATTATAATTAATATACGTATATGCAATACGGAACTAGTTGATGTAATTCTGGAGGTAATAAAATAAACCCGGTCTCGATGCGTCAATTTTTTCAGGACTTATCGTGATTACATACGAAAAAATAACATACAGACATCCGAACGTCCACGTAAAATTTTTTTCAAACAGTTTTCTTTTAAAGATTCAACGTAAATTTATTTTTTTTTTATTATTCGATGGATTTTTTAGAGTGTTTCTTTGCCTATTAAACAAATTGACACGCTAGTTGCACCTCATAAAAATACCAGAATGTCAAGTTTGTAATGGATGATTTTATTTGCTAACCGATGGAAGATTAGTGAAACAAAAAAGCTAGACCACACACAACCAGGCAATTTTTACTCGATAATTACTAGAACATTAAAAGTCCTTATGGAGGCGGTAATTAGTTTTATTGACATAATAAAAATGCCTCTTTAATAGTTGGCTTAGTTGACGTGTCTTTTCCACGAACCTCGTCACAAATTTTAACGATGTTTTCTACATTGTGAGTTGCAGTTGTCATGGGCAACAATTCCAAACAAAGTCACACATTTTGCATAGCATTCAGTCGGCAACTTGACTTCAAACAGCTCAGTCGCAATTACATAAAAGATTTTTCAAGCTTGCAAACATTTCTGATGTTGTGCAGAATTGGTTCATTAAATTGACCTTCACCAGCTAAACAATGCGGTTCATAAAGATTATTTTAAGCTGTTGTTGCGTATTTAGTGGTCACTTTTCAAATGGAAGCAGCATTCACACTTCAGAAATCAAAAGGCGCCTCATCAATCATACGGTGAGTTTATTTTTAAAAATTTAATTTCAATAACTTTTACCATTTTTAAAATCGTTTATTACCTTTACAGATGGAATTGATTGATAAAAGTTTTAAGAATAATATGAACCCAGTGATAATAACTTCTGACCTAGTTGATGACCAAGTTGTAAATGGAAATATCGATAATGTAAATCCGCTGATTGTAGTGAATAGTGATTTCATTGGTGCAAAAATTAAAGGGTATCATCCCAGCTATCCTATGTATATCCTCAAATTTGAATCTGACGAGAAGCTGATAAAGTTTATTTTTCGGTTTACTCATTCAACAATCTGGAATGTAAAGTCACCAATTTTCATTCTCGACATTTCTGAAAGGCCTCATGATGTAAAAGCTAGTTGGGTTCTTAAGTTTCTCGGAAGGTTCGAAATATTGGTATCATACTACTTGTGTTATGATAACGATAAAGATTCAACCATAGTCTACACTCTGAACCCTTACTCACAATATGCTCCACGACCATGGAAACAAGTTAAATTAGCAGATAGCAATAGAAAAACAAATTCGACACTACTCAGTTTGCAGTATCCGAAAGGTAATTGTTAAGTTTAATGATAATTCACTCTTTAAAAAGAAAGAACAAATTGAGTAATAATTCTCAGTTATAAATAATTAGTTGATTTTTATAATTAATTTTCAGATGTAAAGAAAAGCCACAAAAATGTTTATTTTGATAAAAATAAATACTTAAATGGTCATACAATAAAATTATTGGATTCTCTAAACATACAAAATTCAACCCAACAGGATGAACAGAATGAAATTGATGAGTATATGAAACTCATTAAACAGTTTAAAGACGTCAAATTGACTTCACTACCTGATTATATCAAAGTAAATACGTCAATTCATGTTATTGAGAACGATCTTAGTTCATTAATAATAAAAATGGGTTTCGATAATAGGCTTTTTACTTCTCAGTATGATGCGCATAACCAAATGACTCAATTGGCTGATATAAATTATAATTTTAATGACTTTGTGACGCAGTACCAGGAATTACACTTTTCAATTATCACGAAAAAGACTGATTATTTGACGGCAATCACTGAAATCGACGTAAATCTTAATTTTATCGTCAACACAATCTTGGTGTTGTTGCTAATTGCAGTGTTGATAATAATGAACAACAAATATCACGTGAGCCAAGGAATTATGGACGTTGTGAGTATGTCAATGGGCATGGGAATAATGTCTCCAATAGAACGTCTTTCAATGAGGATCGTCTATTTCTTCGGATTTTTATTTATTTTTGTAGTGATGCCCGAATTCCAAGGACAAATCTCGGCAATTCTATCTAAACCAGCGCGACGTAATGTCGAGACTCTACAGGACTTGTTTAACAACAAGTATCACGTGTTTTACGATGGAAACTTAGAAAAAGACATGATTAACGAAAACTTGTGGGTGACCAAAAAGGACCAAAAATACTTGCATCCATCTAATGATCTTGATCTGAAAAATTGTGTGAAAGAAGCCCAACGGAATTCAACTATTGCTTGTATTAACTCGATTGACTGGCAACTTTATTACGTTTTAGAGTTAAAAAATCTTCATCTATCAAAGGAAAGTATTTTCAAAAAATACTTCGTGTTTTGGACAAAGAAGAACTGGGCTCTGAAGGACAAAATTGACAAAGCTCGTTCTATTCCGGTGGAAACAGGATTAATTAACCACTTTTTTGAGGAGAGAATTAAGAAAGATCGGAAAATAATAAAGAAGATGGAGAAAATCAAGGAAGCTGAAAACTATGAACGAGTCGACTTTGAAAATTTAGTGTTTTATTTCATTTTGTTTGCGGCAATTTTGCTGTGGAGTTTGGTCATTTTTGGAATTGAACTTCTTGTTCACCGCAATTACTTGAAATATCTGAGAGAGCAAGCGGAGCGACGAAAGTTCATAGAGCGATTGAGAGCACGTCCATAAATTATTTGTTTCTCGAGTTGGATTATTCTGTAAAACAGCCGCGAGTGATCTAAATAGCGAAAAAATCATCAAATTTTAGCAGATTTGTTTTATTCAATTTCACTATCCATTATTGATTTTTATCCGTAAGTAATTTTGTCTTTAAATCATTAGTGTTAAAACGTTTGAGAACTTTTAATGCAAAAATATAATTGGTGTGCTGTGTTTATGAAAATTATTAATCTTGAATTTACAAAATTTAATGTGTTAAGAGTGTAAAGAATTTAAAATTTGAATTTGAATCTGTATTCTACTTTGTGGTATTAAAAAAATCGACTACAAAATATTAATGCATAATTATTTTAATATATGATAATTATTTAGATAATTTTTCTCTATTTTCACTCTTAGTTTTCAAGTCTAAGGAGTTCTTCTTTTTATTTTTATGAGTAAACTAATTTATTAATTATTTTCCTGTAAATAATAAAGCCTGAACTACATCAACCGATTTTACTGCAGTTTGGGACGCTATTTTAGTTCCAGAGGTCGCCGCTAGATGGCGTAAGCGTACTCGCTTTTGGTAAGGCTATGAAAATTATAAGAGAAATTTCCTTTTTTCACCAGATTAATCTATTATAATTCTAATTCCAACGCAATAAGGTCAAAATAATAATGTAAATACCGTATTAATAGCATCCGACGGAAAGTATCCAAACTATTGAACCCATCAGGAATAATTTCTTCCTCCGGTGTTTCGCGGTCGTGCCAGTACTTCCATGTCTTTTCATTAGCTTCCACCGCTTTTACGACATATTGAAAGGAATGCAAAGAAGACAACGCAATCAAGTTCAGCCAGGTCATATCCGTGATCCACTTGAACGGTTTTGGCTTCACGGTGTTAAGATCCAGAGCAGCGCCACCTTTGATTAGGTACTGGAACTCCTCGTAGGTTATGGCATCCCGCTCAAGGTCTATCTTCAGAGTCATCAGCAGCACAAACATGTACTTGTGGTTCTCGTACAAGCCTCGGGCTTTGTATCTGAATACTTCATAAGTCAGGTACTCGATTATGAAATTGATGCGTCTGGTGTTTATCGGCGTCTTCTCTGATCTAATTTTATTGAAGATGTCGCTGTTAACTTTTAGTTTCAGGTTATGGGTTAAATGAAAGAAGAAATACTATATTGAAGCGTACCGTGTCAAAGAGATATCAAATCGTTCTAAAAATTGTACAAGGGAAGTCTGATACATGCAGTTCACGTGCGCCATGTCGCATATCAAGAAGTAAAGCACACTGCCTCGTGTAGCTACTGGTCTAAATTCTTCTCTCGCGGCATTTATTTCTATCTCTGTGCTCCGAGCTATGTTCAGCTTTCTGGTCACATCGGACGCTGTTTTTCTTGTTGTATTGAGTACCGACATCAACTCAACATCTTCGATCAAAGAGCCCTTTATATAAAACAAGACAAGACAATCACCAGCATTATTATTGCTACCGTAACTTTTATTTGATAAATATTGGTCGTTAAAAAGAAGAAAAATAAAAGGCGGGATTTGTAATTATAATTAGTAATTATAAAGACGTCAGCGGTAAGGTAATTAGAAATGGTATACAAATTATCAGCTTACTTGAACAGTTGTCAGCTTGTGTAGAAGGTTCGCCTCTAACTCCTTAATCTTCCTCTTGTTCGTGGTGACGTCAGTGATTAATTGCATTCTCTCAGTCTCTAATTCGCGTTTTTCAGTCATTATAACTCGCCCAAGAAGCTGATCCTCCAACCCTGCATACAAACGTATTACATTACATACATGACAACTTTAATATCATTTAATTTATCTATTACTTTTTAGTTATTATAATAATAATTTAACTGAGTTTAGACACCATTGTTGCTTTTTTAGGGATTAGTCGTGTTTAGAAGACTGAAAAGAAGAAATTTTTAAATCATTTTTTCTGCTTTTTAATTTATTAATATGAAAATTTATAGAAAAAAATTTTTTTTTTTAATTAATATGAAATTAAAGTTAGCAATCACTTCACTAGTTTTTTTTTTTTTTTTTTTTGACAAACATATTTGTTCAAAAAATGATTTTTAAAAAATTGCATTTTCTAATTTTAAAAAATGTTTCCATATCAACTTATTATTATTTGCAAAAATTCTTAAAATTATCAAACATCTTGTAAATTAATTGTCACGAAATTAATTTAATAAAATTCTCAATAATTTTATTACTTAGCTGAAGAAATAAAATTTTTTCTCATAGTAGCTATCTTGTTGATAGTTTTTTAAATTTGAGAAAAAAAACAATTTTATAAAATTTGTAGATTTTCATCAAAAATTTTTAATAAATTAATTTCTTGCCATAATATTTAAAAAACAAATTTTTTCTCTCAGTGTTTAATAATAAATTCTTTTTTTTTTGTAAATAATTATTTTTTTTAGCACTTGTAGACAATTTCTCGGAGTTTCTTTAAAAAAAAATCACGCGATGAGCACGATATCTTCATTTTGAATAATTCAAATTTAATAATCAAAAATTTTGTCAATAAAAAATAATTTATATAGTAATTAATCGAAGAAATTCATAAATACAATGAAAAAATATATAGCAAAGTACTTTAAAAATAATTTTAAAGTGTTTCATTGTCTTGAATCAAGACAAAAAATTCTCGAATGAAGTAAAATTTACTTAAACCAAGAAAAATTTCTTAATTTAAGGACGTTCCTAGAAAAAACCATTTTTTTGAAATTTTGAGTACTTATACTCATAAGTATCCTCTATACGCATGAATTTTTTTAAATAGTCCTTGCGGCACTAAATTTTGAAATATTACCATTAAAAATTAGTATATTTTACATACAAACTTTGTGCTGACCGACGTTCAAGCGAACGTTTTATTAAATATCAATCGTACTTTTCTAAGGATTGTTTTAAAAACCTGAAAATCATTAATTGAAGATATAACAAGTATTTTTAATCAAAAATAACGTAAACGAGCGGTATTGATTTTTTTATAAAAAATGTTTGAAGTTAGTGACTTTGGATATTTTACGTGAGTGGAAGTAAGTGAGCGATAGTCTGTAAAGAGAGGCAGCACTAGTGCGTGAGAAAGAAACCAATACCCATAACCTATTGGTGTCTTTTTCTTGTCTATGAACGTCCTTAAACCTAATACTCTAAAGTTGAATCTCCTGCTAGGAGAAAATTAAGCGACCATGCGCCATCTGTTGGAGTTTTTCCGTACTTATCATTATAAATAGCGAATAATCAGTACTTTTATATAATTTTTTATATAATTAATAAAAAATAAATGAAATATTAAATTTGTAAATTGTTCTTCAGTTTTACTAAGCATTAAAAGAATTGCTAATTAATATTTTTCTTTATAATTAAAAAATGAATAACATTAAAGACCTTTGAATCAAATACCCATAACCTGTTGGTGTCTTTTTGTTGTCTTTAAAATAATGAAAAAAATATTATACCTTTCATCGTAACAGTGAAATCAATAATAGAAGTTTTAGCAAAAATCTCCGGCGTGTAAGACGGATTGGGCAGCTTAGTAGTCATGTACAACCGAAACTGGTGATTAATATCGACCTCCTTGTCCCCCAGTTTGACCTTCCAGGAGTTGCCAATCTTGATAAAATTTTTCTCGAGCAAATTATCAAGCACCGGATCAAGTTCCTCAGCCACGTCTTCAATCAATAGTGGCCTCCCGATCGACACGCAGTCCTCCAAGTAATTTCTGAAGTACTTATGGGTGAGTAATGTGGTTTGCAGCTGAAACTCTTGTTCTTTATTTTTAATCCAAGCTTTTCCTTGCAGCTGCGGATCGATTAATAATGGATATCTCGTGGCCTGCGTTACAATAATACCGTTTTGTATCGATAATTCGTCATTCGGTAGCCCCTGTAGATTCCACTCGCCCGTCTGAAAAATATCCAAAAATTCAATATCAATATAATGAATAAATGAAATAGGTTCGATGAAAAATTGAATATAATATTATAAATATTGATAGAGTTTAACTTACCATCGCTGTATCTGACAGTGAATCAACAACGTTGACATCTGCAGATACCGGAATTTTTTTACTTCGCAATAAATTGAACCAACGCTTCTGTGTGAGCACTCGGAATTCTTGATTAAATGGTCCGCAGTAAGATAAAAATCCAGTTAGGATTAAAACGTCCCCGATGAGGCGCTCCGTTTCGGATTTAAATGTTGACAGTTGATTTGTCCACCGCACTCTCTCTCCTGACAACCCTTCTATTAATGCCGATGCGGTGTCCATTTTTGATTGACATGCGTTCGCCAGATCAACAACTTGCTGGGGAGTAAAAATATTGTTTGTTATATTTTTTTTTTTTTTTTTTTAATTTAGATCAAATACACGGAAAAAAATAAATAATAGTCGAATAATTAAATTTGAAGTTATTCATAAGTTTAAGTGAAGTAAAAAAAGGGCAATTTTTTACCCGCGTATATATTCAACCCTTCAACTCTCGAGTTGTATGAGACCTCAGAAAGTTGTAAAAGGGTTAACCCAACCCCGTTGTAACTTTCTATTGCCACCCTAAATTACAGAGCTACCGTTCACGGAGTTAATGAAAGTTGATAATTAATTTTTTTACTAATCTCTGCTAATAATGGTAATTTATGCAAGAACCGGTTATTGAATTTACGGGTTATGTATTTTGAAAAGTTATTTGTATTAACAATAAATTGAAAGTTTTATGACATTACAAGTTATTAAAGTAGTTTTTGTAGGGTAGTATACCTGATACTCGGTCATTACAGCGTCAAATTCAAGTTGAACAACTCTCAAAGCTTCATCTTTAGCCGCTAGAACTTGTTGTGCAGCAACTAAATTATTATTAGCTCTCTCATGTTTGCTTTGTTGAATCGCTAAATTGACCTGCAATATTTAAAGTTACAGTTATTTTTTCTTAACTTTTAATAAGAATAATAATAGTAATAAACTGTAAAAAATTTTCAGAGAATAACATTTAATT